ATAGTTTTTTTTAGAAATTCTTGATTTCATGTTTTTACTTTAACATACGGAAAATTTATCAATGACACGTAGACTAATTTATTAAATACATTAAATTATTTATAAGATAAATTGTACCATAGTTTCTAGATATGGCCTCTCGTTTATATCCTTTCTTATAATCTTATCTTCTGACCTAATTAAGACATAGACACCCTAATCTGATTGTGGTATAAAAGTCTACATCCTGCAGCAACAAAAGAAGATTAGAATCTGACCATAATAACTGTTTACCTACAATACTTCAGCTGCACACATACAACATGTAATTTTCCTTTTGTTGGATTTGAGAAAATTTCTTTGGAATTATATAGCCCATTCAGCATCAACCTTTTCTATTAAATTGAGTGCAAAAACATTGTTTTTTCCCAATATAGGTTTGACAGTTTAGTTTTGTGCAGTATTATAACAATTCAGACTCAATGAAATATTGCTCCCCTCTTGACTACGAGAGACCTTTTTCCCTGCTTGTTGTACTTTGTGACAGAATCTAGAACGGGTACTCGGTAATCAATTTTACCCAGTTATCAATCTGATACCCAAGCTCCTTTCAAGAAATAGCTAGAGGAGATTCTCAAAATGGATAGCTACTAACAGCAGGACACACTAGATAAGATAAGAGATAAGATCACTTTATTAGCCATATACATTAGGCTAATAGCATCAGGAATTTGTCTTTTCGCATACCCCAACTTGCTCTCCATGAGACACACAGACATGGAGAGAGAAGCTTGGGGTCAGAGTGCAGGGCCAGCCATTTATATGGCACCCCTGGAGCAGTTGGGGTTAAGGGCCTTGCTCAGGGGCCCAACGGAGTAGGATTCCTCTGCCGGCCACAGGATTTGAACCGGCAACCTCCCAGCCACAGGCGCAGATCCTGAGCCACAGAGCCACCGCTCCGCCCCAAAACCAGACTCTCCCTGAACGGGCACGGACGGGCATCGAACCCGCGCTCTTCGGTTTACGAAACCGACGCCTTACCACTTGGCCACCGCTCCTGATGTCATCTAGTCCAAATGACCTCTTTTAATTCTGTTTTCCTGTGGTCCTTAATTGCGTTTCCAAGCTACACCTTCATACAGTCTTAACCCCAGACAGAACATGTTTGCTTGGCCTAATAATAGCAAGGACAGATTGCATGACATTGATATTTCTAAATTGTGAGAACAGATGGCTGACCATGCAGATATCATCATCCGCAGAGAAATTTACTGTGGAATAACTTAAACTGTAACTCCTTTTATTTTAGGGTTACAGTTTTTAAGGCTTTAAGGCTAATATACTGTATTTTCATTATTGCACAAGCTATGGACTTGGGATAGTTAGAAGTTCAGTTCATGTAATAACATACATTTCCAAAGTCTTGTTTGATGACATGAAGAAAAAAAAATATGAACACAATTCTTCAGAAATAAATTAATGGTAGTATTACTAAATCCTTCTTAAATTTATCTTCCTGATAATAGGTACAGATAATTGATTACCAATGAGTTCAGATATGCACAGTGAAGAATAATGGTTTTCAGTGGATTCTAGAAATCTAATTACAAAATATATGCCAAAGAGCATAATAGCTTAGCCTTAGTGTTTAGATATTTTACATGCAGTTTGAATAGAGCTATCAGATTGATGATTCCATTAGTGAGCCCTGTACTTGAAAACCCTGATTAGTTTTGGGAGCATTTGGCCCGTATCCCCCATTGATTTCTTTATTTCGAACGCAGTCCTGTTTCTTGGGGGCGAGAAAAAGTACTCTGAAACTGGACACTACTTTTATTTCCTTTGCAGAGCCATTTAGATCATTTTTATGCATTTCCGGGGCTGAATTGCTTTCATTCTGACTCTGAACACCAGTTTTCACATTACTGCCATTTCCTGCTTGAAAGGATGTTTGGTTGCATCCGAGAACTGCTCCGAATGTCTTGTGTGCCGCTATTATCATGTTAGTTACACAGGAGGAAGCCTTCCTCTCGCAGGAGAGAGACTAAGGCCGGCAATAGCAGGGGGCTCGGGAACAAGCTACCCAGCCATGTTGCTGAAGCCAGCACCCATTCACGAAAAGGCTGGCAGAGATCCTCAGATCAATTAGCTACAAGGACCAAAAGGGTCTGGAAAGGGGCCACCTGGGCTCCTTTCCTGTGTAACCTTTCCTCTTCTCATTCTCAGCAGTAGACTTCAATTCACCCCCAGTGCTTCCGACATGAACAAACTGGTCTGGGTGTGATACCTGTGGGGAAACTGCAGGTCCGAGATGGAGCTGCTCAGTCCCATGGACGGTCCACCCGCGTGTGTGTGTGTGTACCGATGTGTCCTGAATCCTCCTGACAGAAGGCCGTCTTTGGCACCAGGCGCGGACTCAGTCATGCCAGGAGCCAAGGAGTCACCTTTGTTCCGTTTCGAGAATTTAGAAAGCCGCGGAATGACACAAGGCCTGAATGACTTTCCTCGCCCACATCTAAGAATCGTCTGCAAAAAAACCTGACACCGTCAGGGCAAAGTGAAAACAGAAACAGAATCTAATTTTTCAGTCTTTAAACTTTGATGTTAGTAAGGTACACAAACATAAGCTATACCTGCGTATTTTTCACTGCTGGAGCAGAAGTGATTTTATTTTTTTGCCTGTATTTTATGAGCTGTCGGATTAAGTCTTTACAGTTAGGGAAGGAGAAGATGAACTTGTTTTTTTTTTTATGATAATGACCACAACCTTTTCTCTATCCTTGGGATGTGTAGCAAAACGCACACTTTTTTTTAACAATGTATTTACAAGGTTTTCAGAAAAGTTCCTTTACATTTGAAATAATTAAAGAAGTGATGGTCCAGCAAACATCTCTTGTAAGGTAGTGTGTATGGCTGAATTGTAAAACCTAAAACAGTTGGCACCTTGGTTTTGCGCAGCATAATCTGGAACTTTGTTGGCATCAAGTTGTTACGAATTCCAAAGCTATTTTGTTGTTTTTTGTTTTTTTTTTACCCCAAGCATTTTCATGTCCATAGTGGTCTTAATTGACTTGTGGTTCCTGGAGGGCCCAGAGCTGCAGGACTCCTGGCACAATGAAGCTACCTGTTTCCTATTGTCTGGCTCTCTCTGGGGGCAATCGGGGAAGAAAGGCTTCAGTGTTGCAGTGCCTTGGGCAGGCCGAAGCCATTCGGAGCAAGCGGAGCCCGTCCTTTCCTGAGCATTCAGGCTAGCAGGGGCACTGAGCTCCCGAAAGATTTGTTCACATGCTCTGTGGAGACATTGACGGGAACCAGCACTCCTTTTACAGTATCTGTTGTTCCCGCAGAAGTCATGAGTGTCTTGAGAACACAATTTAAAAATAAAATTCCTCAATCCCACCCTACTAATCCCTTATTCCTTAATCACACGTATTTCTCTCCCTTTATATCTTTTACTATAACTCCCTTTAACACTTTGTGTACTGTGTTCCAATCACTAACTTTAAAAATGTTAGCTTATTTTTAACTTTGTTGAAATGATTAGCATTCTCCCAACATAGGTTTCTCAACTAGCTAAATATGAGGAGGAAAAAATACAAATTGGGACTTTAGACAACTAAGTCTAGCAAAGGCTTAAAAACTTTTAAATTTAAAGTTATCCTTCCCTTTTAGAATTTCAGACGTCTTGTGTGTCTAGGCGTAAGTAAGATATTCCAACCAAAGCTGCATGTAAAGTAGCAATGCAGAAGTTCTTTTAATTTTTTTCTGAGGCAGTTATCGGCTTTTCACTTTGTGAAACGCACAAACAAATCGTTTTCTTTCATGCGGGCACCCTCCCTGTCTTCTGTCGTCTTAGTATAGTGTTAAGAATTCAGAACACAGTCCCCGCCAGTTCTGTGCTTCGAAGTCACGAGCTCCAGAACTTTCAGCTGCTTGCCTCCCAGAATAACTTTCATTACTTGTGAGGACTGAGGCAAATATCAAACCTGCGTTTGACATTTGATATTTGCCCGATTTCTTTGTGAGACTGCTCTCAGTTTCGATATTGTCTATCTTATACAAGTGCAGTCCATGCGAGCCTGCAGGTAAAGGCACGCTCCAAGCCTAGCCATTTTTTATTTTAACCCTCTCGGTGAGGCCTTTAGTTTGTCCTGTTTTATCTTTCTAGTTTTTAAAAATATTGCTTGTCGGTCCACAATTCAATGCGGATACCTACAGTACCTGAAAAGGAAATTTGGAAAAATTAGAGATGGTGTCTTAATGATCACTGAAATCAAAGCAGTTTTCCTAAAAAGGACCCTCCACTTTGAAAGGCTCATGTTTTAAATGAAAATCTCTCTTTACAATTAGCAGAAACTTTCTATATTAATGATATTTTCAGAGTGAGAGAATAATTTATCCTATACAGAATGAGTGTTTGGAACCATTTATGCATGTAAAAGATGCAAGGATGTTATACAATATATATGTTTACAGTAACAGGACAGTATGTGTCAGAGTAGAGAAAGGGTGTTAAATGCCAGCATCATTGTCTGGTGTTCTTTTGAAGCTGAGCTCTCGGTTAACTGAAATGGCCTCATTACTGTCTCAACCGGAGCTAACCAAGTCTTGTAAAGTTGATCGTTTAAAAGACACGCTTGATTTAAAAGGATGTAAAAACAGAGGTTTTCCAAGGCCAAGATGGAAAGTGATAAACTTTTCCACTTGGGCAGATGAAAAGAGTTCGAGCTTAGGAACGACTTGGATGGAAATAAAGCCTGGGAGTGCCTCTGGCCCAGCAGGAATCGAGTTAGATGCCTGGAAATGAAGGAAGGTTGTCCAGGCTTTCCTCCTGAGTACTTGTTTGGATGAGGAGTTGTATTATAAATACCGGACAGAACAAAAGAACAGGGTTGATTCACAGGGTGGTGGAGGTGAGGATGGGTGGTTTGTATTGCTTCCCAATGCCTCCCTTACAAACTCACACACACGGACTGTACTCGCCTCTAACTGGTTTCTTTGGTGTTGATCCTTCTCTGTAGATACCCCTCTCATGGTGAGAAGCAGCAGTGACCCAGCTCTAAGCCCCCCTATGGAAGGGAACGCAGGGGTCACCCAGTCGGAGGACACCAGTGTGCATTTTGGCACGGTAAGGTCTCCAGTACTGCTCTAAACCAACAGAAGCAGCCAGACAGGCAAAAACTGCAGCCTCCTCCTTGTGTTCAGCCATTACAAACCTGTTCAAGCCCTACTACATTAAAGTGAACCAACTTGACAGCAAGACTTCAAGCAATCTGCCAAAGCAGAAATTACAAGCCCAGTATTTAATGATTGGGTTTCTATTAAACAGAAGAAACAAACTAATACTGGCTCTTGAAATCTATGAGCTGGGCCCTGATATCGATGATCACTCAGAAAGTGTAATATTGTCTAATAAATGTTATGCAGTGGGAGTTTATCTGCTATACTTTCATGCACAGTGGTATTCTTATTCATGCTTGGTACAGTACAGCACATAACACCACACAATGTAGACAGTACATTACAAAAAACAGAAAATAATAAAAAGTGACTGTATGTAAAGACAGTAAACAGAACAATAAGAGGTATCCGAGTCAAAAGTGTATTTAATATCTTTATGATAGCTATTTAATATACACTGGCAGAAGTAGGTGGCATGCGACATCTTCAATATCTTTCTCATTTACATACGAATGGGCTTTATAGAGTCCTGGAAGCCTAATGATTAGCCATTCCCTTTTCTAAAAAGCACTAAGCTTAGAAGGGAGTTACCTTCAAGAAGTGTGGAGGCAGCCCACAGCAGCCTACATTTGTATTAAACAGCAAAGTGCCTTTCATCACTGCTAATGCTGAGCAATAATGTCCAGGCTCAACCCATGATCCCGTGCTGAAAACAGGAGCCTGCCAAAGAAAAGAAATGCACTTCATCTTTGATGTGGCTGCCTCAGTATTTTCCTGCAGTGTGAATAATGCAGCGTTCCGAGTTTGACACGCTGTGCTGTTTTTGCCCCTTTTTCGCTGCCATAATCCACAGGGAAGTTTTTCTTTAACCATGGCAATTTTGGTTATTTCTTTTTCAGAGCTTACTCATTAGTTATCTAGGTTTATCAACTGAGGTGGCAATACACTCTGGAACTGGTAGTGTTGGCATTGCTTGGCGTTTCTGGGAACCAGGAAGATAATGACCAGCACATGGAGATCATCATATTGCTATATAACGTCCTGTTACATACTGTAAACAGACTTTAGCTTATTTAACCAAAAATAACACCAGTGGCAAGGGTGAATGAATTAACATATAATATATTATTGGCCAAAAAGTCTATGGTGATGTCCGATAGTTTATCAAGTGGGCTCATTGGTCTAAACCAGTTTTCCCATTAATTCAGTGCTCTGAGTTTTTTTTTCTTGTCACATATAGAAGAAACAAAAAGCTTTTCGATGCCATAAATAATTGAGGTTAAACTAGACTGGCACGTGAAGGGGTGCATGTGTCTTTCATGAGCACCTTGGGGAGCTGTTGTTATATCCTCTTGCCTCGTGTTCTCGGGATTTAGCAGGGATTTTTAAAAAATCTGTAGCCTTGCCATTATCTGCCCAACCTTGCCTCCCAATAAATGCTCTGACGTTTGCAGATTGTGCCCCAAAACAGTGTTCTTTTGTTGGGAAACTGGGCAGCATTTCCGTAATAAATGAATGTCTTCTACACAATGTAAAATAAATTCTGTGCAACCATTTATATAACCCACCCCAAATTAAATTAACAGGTTATAGACCCCCCCCCTACACACACACAAAAGAATAAAATCACAGAGCTTCTCTTTTCTTTTAGCCACCCAATATTTTCTCAGCTATGCCTAATGGACTGGCTGAATATAGATGGCTTTCTTTTTATTCTTGTTGCTTTTCCATTTCCAGAGTGCCTTTTTTTGTTTTGCTTTGCAGGTCTTTAAAGGAGGGTGGTATGGATGTTTAATGCACTTTGTGTCTCTGTATCATCCTTGTTCTTAGTCTTTGTTCTCTCCCTGCCACCTGCCTCAACAAACAAACTGCAAAATATAGCGGTGAAGTGCTCTACTTGGTGTCTCATAGCGTGCCAGGCCTCTGTGAGGGGTCTAGCTCTCTGAGTGATGCTGCTTTTAGTTCCAGCTGAGCCCCAGTTCCTCTCACACCCTGTTTGAGCTTTGAACCATCAGGAGAGCTCACCAATGAAACATTTATACACAGAGATCAACTGGAAAATGGTATGGTTGGGTGACCTTTCAAAGAATATTTTCAGATTTGCCTATCTACAGTAGTTGTGTGTCTGTGTTTACTTTGATTAATCTCTTATGTGCCTATAGATGTAAGATTTTTTAAAACTGAAATATCAGATTGCCAATCATGCTTGTACTGGGTTTATGTATGGTGACAAATGCACGTCACAAAGAATCAGATGAGGATACTGTGTAATTTCAGTCATGTCACTTGTCTGCAACTACAATTATTAAAGCAAGCGTGTGTGTGTGAGGTTTGCACTGATCAGTTTAAAGCTGCTTTAAATTGAATCAAAGCAAGGGTGCTTTTCATTATCTTGTGTTCAATCTTGTCGAATTCTGTTGGGCTCTGATGTAGTAGGTGTAAACAGGAAAGCAGTATTTGGATTTCTGAACATTATCTGGTGCCTTTGGTTTCAGATAAAGCAGTTTCTTTCAACAGGTGACAGATCAAGGCAGGAGATACCAAAGAGCTCAGTGGCAAACCGGTGATCATTAGCAGAGATTGTCAACATTCTCAAGAGGAAAGCCTGCCTTTGTCTTTTTCATAATCTTGATATGTGACAGCAGTTCAGAGATGTCAAACACTGCCAGAACGAACCATGCAGTACTTGCCACAGCGTGCAATTTTAAGCACCAGCGTTCAAAGAAAGGTCTTGTTGTTTTTCTCAAGGAGGAATGTGCTGTTGCTGGTGCTGTGTCGTTAGCTAGGTGTCTGCCTAGGTGGAGAGTTTAGAGTTTTGCTCTTTTCTGCTGCTTGCGGTAGCAGAACTACAATTCCCATCACCCCCTGGGCCTGTGAAGAGAGCACACGACCATGTTGCTCCTTAGAGAACCTCTCTTATGTTCTTAACTTTTACACTTAATTAATACAGTCATTGCTTCCAAAAATTGAGTTACTGTACTGTGTATGACTAGCATGTTGCTTTTTACTGTGATGTTAGTGTTCCTGGAGTTTACCATTAACCTGTCGGTGGAATTAGACTGTACACAACTTGCATGCAAGGTTTTGTATGAAAGAATTCCTACTGGTCTGATTAATGACGTCTAAATATGTATTTATGAGAATATTCTAAATCTTATAGTCACATACCCCTCAGTTTCTTGTTTGGAAATCCCAGATATTGGCTCCCTTGTTCCTTAAAAAGAAAAAGTCCTGTTGATATCGGATGAAGTTTTGTACTACTGAAGGTGAAGGTCTGTGTCGTGGTGGTATGATTTATTGATGGAGGGAAGAGTCCTTTTGTCTGGGAGTTTGCATTTAATGAGTCTTATCCGGGATGCTGTTAAATAAGCCCCAGTCTCACTTGCCTCCTGACAGCTCCAAGATAAGGGAGGTGCTTTAACAGAGACAGATAACCCTTGTCCCTTCTTCAGGGGTCAGAAGCCAAACATCTGTCCTGGTGGCACCCCTGAGGGGGGCATCAGTGTGAGACAGGAAATGACCCCCCTCCCCCACCCTCTCCCCCTGTGTGTGACTGACAGCAGTCTTCAGAGAGAGTGCATCTCATAGAGGCACACAATACTCGCTCGGTGTTGCAGAACGCTTCCCAAACACTTTAAGGGGCACAAGAACACCAAAATCTGTGTTGACGTTGGATTTTACACATGTAACATGAGCACCCTCCACCCTCATCCTCATATTGTGTTTTTTTTTTTTTAAAGACGTTCTGTTGTTGCTGCCTTTTTTTTTAAAGCTGTTAACACCTGTTCTCTGTTTATCCTCTTAGATCTCAGAGGCCCAAGCCACTTCAGCTTGACTTGTTGCTTTTCCTTCCCTGCCCCACCTTATTCCTCTGGATGTTCAGGTTTTTTTTTTAAATCCGCACGGTTTTCTTTCTCGCAGTAATGCGTCTCCGAATTGCTTCATTGGCCCTGGCTGGGTTCTTTAATCGAGTGTCGCTAACCTCTCTGGTGAACTGGAGAGAGCCAGGCAAATTGCTGGCGGGGTCACCTGGGATTGCTGATGAATTAGTCAGGTGTCTTGACACCACTTTGAGTCTTGGCCAGTCTCCACAAGACTTAATAAAACGGACCTTAAAAAAGTGCAGCACAATTTCTGTGCAGTGAAATATGAAGGAAAAGACCCTCCACCCTCAAAAATTTAATTTTTTTGTATTGGTTGATCCAGTTACACCAGAGCACATTTATCTGGTGGGATGTTTTTCAAAGGCTAGTACACTATCCTGCCAATTTGAGTCTTTCACGTGCAAATGTTTAGATTGGTAAACATTTTGTCAATTGCTAAAAGGCAATTTGCAAAGATATGTTAATTATATCTTTAATTATTTCTTAAGTGGAATGTACAGACACGGTAAACATTGCTATTGTGCTGCATAAACACAATAATGGCAAGATTTTGTAGCACATGGCTCTACAAGAGAGCAGATCATCCTCACTTTTTCTGGTTGAAAGCATTCCAGCGCTGCCTTCACAGACAAAGGGAAGCCAAGGTGGCTGGGTAATTTGTCGCAAGTGGTTGAGAAGGGAGAAGAGCTGCTTTTTCTTACAGTGCAACACTCTCCACAAGACTCTCTCTCCCTCTGCCTGATGGAGCTGTGTCTGTATTGTAGAGCACTGGCTGGTAACAGTTGCTAATTGGCATCCTCACAGCCTGTATCCAGAGGCGTTTGATGTGGGAGAAGGAGCTTGCTACTTTAGGACAGGGCAGGTGTCCTTTAGTGGTGTACATTGCCTGCTGTATGACTTCACCATGGTGAGTTTTGTAAATAGCAGTATTATGTACTGTATAGATATATTTTAACTGCAGAGCCTTATACTGTCTCAAACATAGTGGTTCATGTGTCGATGTCGCCAGGAGGCCAGCGTTTTTATTTTCTGCTCATTAAATTTTGCAGTGCGTCAGTTAGAC